TTTCTTTCTTTCTTTCTTTCTTTCTTTCTTTCTTTCTTTCTTTCTTTCTTTCTCCCTCTCTCCTCCTCTCCTCTCCTCTCCTGTTTGCTTTGCTCTTCCCCTTCCCTCCCCTCCCTTCCTCTCTCCCCTCTTTGTCTCTGTCTCTTTTTGGTACTTTTGGGACTGAGGCCAGGTGCACTCTACCACGGAACTACATCCCACAGCCCTTTTAAAGAATCTAAAAAAAAAAAGTTTGACAATCTTGCTAAGTTGCCCAGATTGACCTCATACTTGCTTCCTGCCTCAGTCTCTCAGAGTGCTGGGATTTCAGGTGTGCCCTGCTGGGCTGGCTTGGTGTTTTTACACTGTAGAACATATCATGGATTTCTCCCTCAGTCAATAGCTATGGCTACATTCTATGTAATAGCTGTATACTATCCAAAAAATATGGTATTCCCACAGATAATTTAACTGTTCCCATACTGACAAAGTTGCTACCTGTTTCCAGTCTGTACAATGTTTCACTGAAGCCCCTAAGGTGGGATTGCCAGGCCAAAGGGGAAGCATATTAAAATAAATCACTAGATATTAGGGTATTGCTTCCCTCACTGTTGGTTACTATTCGGTTTCCCATTGCAGTGTAAGAGCACCTGACACCAGGCCAGCAGTGAACATTACCGTGTTTGTCAATCTTATAAGAGAAAACCACTATTTTATGGTTGCTTTAATATACATTTCCTTTATGGCTTTTGGATTTCTTCCAAAAGAAGAAGTGGCTTCCCTGCCTTACTTTCCACAGGACCTTTATTGATATTGACACAGGGCCTTGCTATGTAGCCCAGGCTGGCCTTAGACTGACAGCCATCCTCCTGCCTCAGCATCCTGATTGCTGGGATTACAGGCATGTGCCACCATGCCCAGCTCATTATAGATTATATATTTCTTAATTTTCTTTTTCTCTCTTCATTAGCTTTGATTTTTATATTTAGTCCTATAATCACAGATTCTTTTATTATTTCTACAGGATTTTCCTCAGTGCTGAAGATTTTGTTTGTTTGTTTGTTTTTGTTTTTTTCCGGAACCGGGAATCGAACTCACGACATTGCACTTGCCAGGCAGGTGTGCCGCTGTGCTGCTATGCCGCTGAGCTAAATCCCCAGCCCCCAGGATTTTCCTCAGTATCTTATACATTAGCTAAAATCTCTACTGCAAAACTGAGGGAAAGTGGTGGCAAGTATCAACAACTTGTCTGTGGTTTGATGGAAAGATCCTACGTATTTCAGTTTAATCTGATGTTTGCTTTTGGATGTTGGTAAAGACGTTTATAATCAGAGCCACCATCTGCAGTTGTGTAAATGTGTAGTACACACTGGGGCCACATCTAGTAGGTGCTTGCTCTCTTCCAGTGTAAAGAAATAGTTTAAAGTACTTGTTCTTGAAAGGCAAACATATACAACCATCCAGACAAGATGCCTTTTGCAAGTGATAGATTTCCTATGACCTTACTGTTGGTCTGTAAAAGCTTTGTAATTCTTCTTGGATCAACTTTGGTAGTTTTTATTTGGCAGGAAAAGAATCCCTTTTTCTTTCTTTAGATTTAAAAGTATATTATCATCTACATCTAGCTATCTAATTTGGGAGGGGCTCTTAGGAACTGAACTCAGGACTTCTCATATGCTAAGCACATGCTCTGCCGCCAAGCTATACTCCATATATGAAAATTTAATAATTGGTCTTAATTTAAGAATATTATTTATATCTATGGTTATATTTCTTATTCTGAATGTTATATATTTGGGTTTTACTTCATTAAGCTTACCATGGTTTACTTTATTTTTAAAGGATTACCTTTTATTTCACTTATATTTTCTTCTCTTAGGCCAAATAATGCCTCTCCTCAAGTTGTTTGTGCCATAATGGTGCTGTGAAAATATTATGTAATGTTACAAAAGGGACTTCACAGATGTAATTAATGTCACAGACCTGACAACTGGGAGAGAATTTTGGATTGTCTTGGTCATTCCAATCTACCCATATGAACCCCTCCTGGCTGGGCAGAAGGGAAGAAGAGGGAGAAGCAGATGTCATAGGGATTCCAAGCCAGTGAGATGGATGCGATGCTCCGTTGCTGGGTCTTAAACAGAGGGGGCCACGGACAACGAACAGAGAGAAGAGGACAAGACTAATGGTAACCCCATCTGACAGCCTGCAAGGAAACGGAAACCTCAGTCCTACAACTGCAAGACCTTAGATTCTGCCAACAACCTGAATTAGCTTGGAAACTAGTTCTACCCCAGATTCCAAGAAAAGCCTTGCATGAGGCCTTAGATAAGCAGAGAAAGCAAAGCAATTAGGACTTCTGTCATGGAAGTTGTAAGCTTGTGTTTTCATAAGGCATTAACTTTGTACTAATGTGTTACAGCAACAATAGGACACTAAAGGAATTATTCATGGAAATTTTTGTCTTTTTTTTTTTTTTTTTTTTTTTGGTGTTTCTCTGGTACTGGGAACTGAACTCACGACCTTGCGCTTGCCAGGCAGGCGCTTTGC